CACACATAATTTGTTCATATATCACAATATTTATGATTCATAATCTTTAAAAAACCACAATAATAGTCACCTGATAAGGAATCGGAGCTGTATATTTAATGTAAAAATGTAATCTGTAATGCTCACTCAACACAACTACTGCGACACAGGCCTGCGAGCCTAGTGCAGAAGCTGTGGTTTATTACATCACAGGAAATGATATTTGTGAATAAAGATTATTTATTATTTATTATTAACTGAGTCCAGCAGTCAATAAATATCAGTCAGCCCACAAGACGAGTGGCAAAACGTAGCTCCTTGAAGGGATTTCGAAACTAAAACTGTCACGTTTTATCACTTATCTAGGGGGATAAGTCTTAGAACTGGATTTTGATTAGCTTTGACAGATGAAGCAGTTAGAAGACCAAAAATATAGCTCAAGAATGTTGAGTTTTAACTCATAATGTCCTATTGAAGATTACTGGTCGGGATTTGAACCCAATTCAGAAATCCAGGTATTTGTTACAAACTATGTCTTCCAAAAAAAAAAAACTACCACCACCACCCAAAAATAGCATTCAACAGCCTCCAACCGATACTGAAAAGCCTATCCACCAACCTCCTTCTTGACAAAGTCGAGTTTCCTTTGCATTTCTTTCTCGCGGTTAATCTCAGCAGCCGTCAGCTTGGTCTCAATTTCCTTCGTGATTTCTTCCACCTTGGCCGTCGCCGCAGACCGCACCTCCATGAGCTTAGAGTTCTAATGTACGTGAAAAATAATGGATGGTAATGGTTAATGCGTGATCAAATAAACATGGAGATGTGAAATTAAATTACAATGAGTAAATCAACTAATGAAACAACACAACATTTAGAAGAACATTCAAATGTAATATGACGCAACTACACCTGTGCGTGCGTATGGAGATTAATGCAGAATTCATGTTATTGAAGATGAGTCATCTACAGCTAGATCTCCCGAGCACCTGTTAGTCGAGTTAAAAAAAGGCTATATTTACATTGCAGAAGAGAATGTGCAGTAAGTAGATCATCGATTTTCATAATCTTATAGTGGCGCGTGGTGGTGCCAGCTCCTTTTAAGTCTCAAGCAGATCTCAAAACCTCGTCACTACTAAGGCGAGTGCTCTTGCCGGTTAACTGTGAAAGCACTTACACAGTTCACGTAATTCAGAAGCATTAGTACCCGTGCTAAGGTTCCTAAGTGTTCAGTGGCAGACCGGCGCGGGTATTAAGCCACAGGCTACAAGACGTCCAGTGCTGAATGCGGGCTCAACCATTTCCATATTGACCGGTCAATAGAGGCCTGACAGCCTTCGTGGCGAGGTCATCTGTCCACCTTAACATGTGACTGGTACTCACGTAGTTGCGGAGCTTCTCCTTCTGCTCGGCCTCGAGCAGCAGGCGGCGGCCGGCGGCCTGCTGCAGCTTCTCCTGGATGGCGCTCTCCAGTGCCGTGAACCGCTCCTGGTTGCCCGCGCGCACCTTGCGCACTTGCTCCTCCTAAACCACACACACGTGTTAGGCTAAAAACTCATGGCGCGATTTTACCCGCGCCCGCGACGGTTGCGGGCCCGCAGCTTCAGTAGAATGCAGATACTTATGTAAAAACTAATGCACAACTCACGACGCAGTTTTCGCCCGCTGTAATCGGGTCCCGCGCGCGGGCGAAAACCGCCCGATCGGCGGGCGAACATTTTGTACCAGTGATATCGCGCCGTAAGTTCTTAGCCTTAGGCTTCTTGTACACGAAAAGAAATTTCGCCGTGTCTGCCGCAGATAGGACAAGAATTTCAACGGACCTAGCTACGAAAATTTGCTACACAGTGTACGCGTGGCAGTTCACCAATGCGCTGGACCGACCAAGTAAAAGCACCAGTGGGAGACGGCTTATGTGACTGCACCAGACAGTCTGCCAATAGAGAGAGATGGAGGGAGATCGTGCGGAGAGTTGTATCCGCCTCTACAACCGATGTGAACAACGCCTCAACGTGACCACGACCGCTCTGCCAAGAGCGTAACGAATAAGAAGAAGTACGCGTCTCTAGCACAGACAAGAATTATTTCTTGGTCAGCGCCGGAGCCATGTACACGGTTCGTGTGAAGAAATGACGCGAATTCTTGTAGGTCCGGCGACTTTTCTTAGCGGTCTTAAGGTGGCGGTTCACGTCGCGACAGAGGCAAGAGACCGAGGCGGGAGACTGCGAACTTTACTTGACTTATGCCCATTTTCACCATCGATCCCTAATTTTTAAGTGACCCCTATGAAAACAAAATTCCTGTTGTGTTACCATAGCATAGGGTTCACTTAAAAATTAGGGATTGATGGTGAAAACGGGCATGTGTCTCTGTCTCGCTCGCGAACTGACATTTCCTAAAGACTCGTCTGACGTCTCGGTCGCTTGTCTGGTCTCTATCGCAGCGTGTACCGCCGCCTTTACTAAACGTACTTGAACGCGTCGAATTCCAGATTTCAAAACTGAATTTGTCATTCCTTTTTTCCATAAAATGATTGTGACTGATTCTTTTGTAGGTTTTCGGGGTTAGTAACCTATTCGGGTTAGTGACCTATTACCAGCCGCAATCATAGGCCTATGCTCAATTTAGGCCATTAAATGAGGTCCGAAGCAGATAATCACAATAATTATTCGGTTAGTCATTCTTCAAAATCGTCAACATTTACGCATTTTTTTAATGTAATGTTTCATCCTAAAATCGTACCCAGAATATATCGAAAACTAACTAGCTAAACATAGATTAATCATAGGGTACCTAATTTCTAGAACACGCTGGAGAATGCACGTCATCATTAGTCGAAAAGGATATGGTTGTCACGAAACGAAAAAACACGTTCATTTAAAATCTTGCACTTTTAAACCTTAAAATCAACGAATTTAGTACGCAAAACAACATCGATCCCTAATGTCAACATTTGAATTTAAATGAAAGTTAAAGTATTAACCATGTGACTAAAGCCTGGTCCGTGAGCACGTAGAATTTTGTCCAATGACCCCAAGCTACCCATCCTTATCGCTCGCGCGTAATTATGTTGCTGTCGCGCTCGCACACTCACTGCGGGCGCCCGTCGCACAGTCGCGACAGCAATATAATTACGCGCGAGCGATAAGGATAGGTAGCTTGGGGTCATTGGACAAAATTCTACGTGCTCACGGACCAGGCTTTAGCAAATAAATAAAGTTCTTACATGTTCCCGCAGACGCTCGAGCATCTTCTTGATGTTCTCGTCGCGCTTGTCGGCAGCCGTCGCCATCTTGTCTTCGATCGCCTTGTACACCTCCGCTGTCTGCTGCTCCAGCGTCAATCTGCGGACACACGTTG